GAGACTGTCTAGTATCGCTCCCGTTAGACATTGATTTCCGTGGCGTGGAATACTTGTTACAAGTTGCTCATTTCCTTCCTCAAAATAAGTGACGGTAAAAGAAGAACCTCTAAGCGGTTGTTCTGAAGTGCCATGTTTTGTGTAACTGCTATCATGGGCAAAGCGGACTGGCGGTAATATAAGTCGGATTATTCGTGAATTTAGTTGGTTGGTTAGGCACACATACAGACAATATATCAGTTTGAATTCCGGTGTACCCATGGACTGCTTCATCGTTCGTGGTCTAGTGCCATCACTAAATTTGACTTTTGGAAAAGTTTGCTTGTAAACGTTTCCAGCGTAGGTATATGTTAGATTTCATCCAACTTCCAGGAACTACGACACACGATCACCAGAAACAGTTGCGAATTATCCGGCATCAAAATCAGCGAAAATGTTCCGGTCGTATTTCGTGCTTCATCATGGAGTCCAAGCTCCATCTTCCCTCTTCAACATCATGATTTGCATGTAGCTTGGAAAGCCGATTAGACACTTGTGAAGTTTCATTCGGCATCTTGTTTGGCAGCTGTAAGTTGATCTTTTGATCTATTATTTTGAAGTTTTTGTAGTTTGAGTGTATGTTTGAGTGTATATTTGAAGAATTGAGAGGAGGGACAGTACAAAATTTATGGTTAAATATTAGCCAGTCAATGTAGGTATTTCTTATTCAATCCCACTCTTACCCTCTCACTCAAACTCTGTCTTATTGGAACACTCACTTCTACACTTGAACTCTCAGTCGCTCACTCGAACTTACGATCAGTCCACTCAAGTTCTCGTTCGCCTGTCATTCCCGAGAGCAAGCTCTTAGTGATAGACTTGGAGCCTAATGGCAAATCAGTGAACGCTGAAGAGCTACATTAAAAGCAAAAGACTAAATAAACACACGTAAGTCTAACTGCCTGAACGCGTAACGATTTCAAAGAGCTTTTCCAATCGCAACGGATTTTTTATACTCTTGTAACTGAAGGCTTGGTGATAAGCTCCTAACTGGGCCTTCCGATCATCTTCTTGTATCTCCTTGATAAACCAACTTTCCATGCGTACGCTGATAAGGTAGCAATCCTAGAAGAATAACGTTCACGGTAACAAAAGGAGGTTCAGTCTAAGGTGTTTCTCATTTCTAGCCCCATGTCGCAATTATGAGAAAACTGAGGGGTCTGATCAGAATTGCATTAGCCACAGTTCATCCTTATTGTATCAGTATTAATGATTCTGCAAAGAGAACTTACTAAAGACTAGAGCCACTTGATCACCTCAGAACCGCAAAATGAACCTACGATTGATGATATGCATCGGGGTTCTGGGACCTTTGAGAAGTATTCAGCTCCAGAACCTCATGGCGATGCCTATTAGGGTCCTGGGAGAAAATTTGAGGAAGTCCACTTGGATTCTGAGGAATTTGATGATGTGCATTGGGATTGCCAAACACCTCAAGGTGTTCGTTGGGGTTCTGAACCGCATGTTGCTGTCCGTCGGGATTCTGAACCATGTAGCAGTATCCAATAGAACTCTGATTCAGATGATAATTCCCAGGGGGATTCTGAATCATGTGATAATTCTCAGTGGGATTCCGCACCACATGAAGGTATCCATTGGGATTCTGGACCACACCATGACGATTCCCGATGAGATTTCGAAACATTTGAGAAGGAATATGGGAATCCGGATCTGCACGATAATAGTCATCGCGCCCTCGGTACAATATACGAGGTCTATTGGGGGCCTGAAGCATTTGACCGCCTCCTGCGAGATCTTCGAACTCTTCAGGATCCCCATTAGGATATACAAACAGCGTGTGTACAGACCGGCCCCCCTCAGTTCGAGCCCTTACGCGCTTCATTACAACCAAGTGCTCCGCCCATAACAGCAAGCTCTGAAGCGCATCAGGTTGATTGTCATGTAGTCGTCCCGTAAGGAGGAATTTGCGCTCCTTCTCTAACCCATAGTTAATTGCAATGTAGAACACCCGCGGCGCCGAAGAAAATTTATCATAGCGTCCATTGCTTCCCCACTCCACGAAATTGAGAGTATCCAGATCAACTATTTCGTTCTCCCTGATCAGGTCGTCCCATAGAAAGATTAAATTATCTAGTTACCAAATGTAAGCTTTTTCTGCGACATGGGTTGCACCGTCCGTTGCAAAGGATGAGATGCTTACCAATAAGCTGATCAAGTACGGGTCCGCGAGGATAGAATCCACAGGACTGCGCCCTCAGTTTGTCACGCAGAGCTTGCTCATACTGGGGATCCATTCGGCGGAGGATCTGTTGCTTTTAATGATGTGGTTGCCGTTGGTTATGTATTTGGGTAATGAATCGAAACCGGGGTTAATAGCATTCGAACCGACAGTCAGTGGTGGCGTGGGGATGTGTTTTGAAGATAGATCATATCCAACTGTAATGGAACTGGGATTAATAGTCGGCCAACAGCTTGCCTAGGAAGTGACGTTTGTAATATGTAGGAAAGAAGGTTTGGACAGCGACTCGTTACCGGGGGAGATTCGCAACGTAGCCTCCTATTTTAACACATTGACTATTAAGAAATTCTACCATAGATTAAGGTTGTACCGATTAGCTCAACGTAACTCATTGTGCGGTGAAGGGATTCATTAGCTGTCGGGGAATGATCTAACAAAGCAGAGAATTAATTTATCCGCCATCTTCTTCCTCAGATTTACTGTAGACGGCGTAGATACCATTGGCCTTTCACACTGGTATAAAACCAGTTAGGATGGTGAATTTTAATTGCTGCGTGGCCTGGTGATGCTGTCATGTATATCAATCACTGCATCACCCGCGGAAAAGTTTTGAGAAGCCAAAGAAACACACTGAAATAGTCTTTAATATAAACTCGTGACTCTAAATAGCCAGCCTGTCCGGTTTCTTTATACCATGCGTTAGTTAATTTTCGCATGGGCAGGCTCTTCATGCACTCTTTCCTTCACAGTCTCTCTCAGCCCTCGCATTGCTTTGGATGTATCGGATCTTGGGTATCTGCAGCCTGCAGCTGTTCATTAAGAACTAGGACAAAGTATTCTTCTAATGAATCATTTGTTACGAAGATCAAATTGGGAGAAGAGGGTTCTATATAACACCCCCATCATCCGCGTTGAGGAAGCAGATGTTCCCTAAAAGTCACGAGATAAGCTCGTTGCTGGCATTAAGCGCTGCTTTCCGTGATGATACTTACTGATAAACTGCGAAAGGCGGATTCCAAGCTCAACAGCTGTTGAGGCATCATCCATGTAATGATTCAGCAACTCCTCCAGATGGATATGAATCTCTCTTGATTGTCCACTTCTTCGTCTTCGTCGGCGGCGCGGGGTGTGGGTGGGGTGAGCATTTGGTACGCAAAATTATTCTCGATAATGGACCAACTGGAAAACTCGAAGTTCTGGAACACTCATGTTGAGAAAGTGGCATCATAGTGTAAGGAAAAATGATGACTGTAAAGAGAGATCAGGTGCAAATTGATTCTCCCTGAATACAAAAGATTTGACTGTTTACGTTTTCTAGAATAGGAACAGCTGCGTGGTCTTGTATCAACCACAGTCCTACTGCGGTGAGATGATGAAAAGAAGATATGAACGTTACGATAACAATATCTGGGGAGGATGAGTGCAAGTGTTTATATATTAAATCGGAGTTGGTGGGCTCTAGTAAAGGGAATGTCCGGAGGTAACGTAAGGAACGAATCTCCATATAATCTTAATATCAAAACTGCGGGAGACATCTCCTATCTTCTAGAACTTTTCCACCATCGAAACACGAACATAGAGGCCTGCGTTCTTCGCGCAGTCATGGCAGTCGCCGACTCCAGTAGCCTCTTGGATTTTATCTGTGCATCCTGCGCCACTAAGGAGAGCCGAAGCCACTTTTACGGGATACACAGCAAATTATCGGCCAGAGGCACTGGGTGCTCTGAGATGTGCAGTGGGGGAAAAGTTGCATGAGAAGCTTACGGACTGTGTGGTTCACATCTTGAACAGGCTTAGAACAATTTCATGTATCATGTGTAATCCAGTTTCCTTATTCGCAAGCAGCAATAGGGGTCCTAAATTAAATGTCAGTCAATTCGCGAGATATTCTTCCCACAACGTAATATAGCAGAAGAACTATACCAGGCACCTTTTGTAACATCTCGGTCAACCACACTCACTCCAGACTCATACAAACCCTTGAGAACCTCTCCATCTCCCTCAATTGCTCCATCAACTCTTCCCTCGTCACTCCGGTTCCGCCTTGATGTACCTCCTATCAAAGTCAAACATGGCAAGAAGAGAGGAAGAGAGGAGGCCATCATCTTTTAGAAAACCAATTGGACGGTCGCGAATGATGTAGCAAATACTGTTGAATGTCTTGATTAAAGAGAACCGGAGAAATTTGTACGGTGGGGAGAAAGGGGGTTTCTGGTGTGTTGCTTGAGCTCAGGCCAGGAAATACAGGACAGGACGTCGAGGGAACTACAGCCACTGTTGAAGAGGGATACAATAGCATATTAATATGCTGATAAAATGTGGGATATAGTTCTAAAGGGGAATAAGAATGGAGGAATTATTATATATACTAAAGTATGATATGTGGAGCCATTTTCTGGAAGTGAGGGAAACTGCGGTAAAAGAGGAGAGAACTGACAAATGCTAATCGAAACTAAAAGACAAATCGCATATGAAACAAGATTCAAAATCACAGAGACGTGCAACTAAGCTGGCCAACGTCTCCCATAAGTACCTACCGTTATAGTATTAAATGCTTACAGCAAATGCATACCGTACAATCTTAATATTTTACTTTAGCAACCCTTTCTTGCCTTTTTAAATGCAGGATATCCGTCAATACTAGTTGAGCAAAATTAAATCCGAAGAAACTCTCAACCAGAAGGGCGGAAGTAACCCTTTCGACCTACCTTATCGTACCCAAAGAGAGAATAGAAGCAGAGCGAAAACAAAAAAAAGTTATGGGTCTTGCCGCGACTCGAACGCGGGGCCTCTCGCAATTTATACTCAGGGTACACCCTAAGCTGGTTGATTGTTAGTGTTATATTTAAGATTAATTGTGGGGAGCTAGTCTTACCGAGAATCATACCACTAGACCACAAGACCAAGCTAGCGAGTTCTAATGGAACTGTTTGATGAGGGATGGGAAAAATGACACTTTTATATTACCCTTTAAACATTTTGATGAGCCTTTGTGGAAGATACGAAATAAAATCTCTGAAGTAGAGGGGAGAGGGAAGTAGGTGGTTAGAATTGTATACATGAACTTTGAATTTGCCCGAGAACGCTGGCTAAAGTGTGACGACTTGATCCCGTTTCAATGCGAAGACGCAAAAGACAAAATGAGGAACAAAGAGAAATAGATAATAATGAACGATCAGACTTGAGGAAGTGATCATCAAAGACTGAGCAGAGAGAGAATAGTACAAGCTCAAAAAGAAACACGCGACAGTGTACTCAGGGAATGGTATAGTACTTATTTTTAGCTGTAGTCTAGTGGCGCTAGCTAATATAGGTATCAATCATGCGTTAAGGACAGAGGGAGTAGGAAGCATTTTACAATGTGAATATGGAGTATTCGAAGTTGAACGATAAAAAATTATGGATAATTCGCAGCGGGAACGTAGAATGTTCTCAGCGGAGTGAATGTCGGATTCACGATGAAGTTCCCCAGAATAGTGGTCCATGCACCGAACCCGGGCAACGACCGCCAAGGCTGGCCACTGCTCCTCCTGAATGCCGGGGAAACACTCAACACCAAACCCTACATCACCATTTTCCTGCCTTTTCTACGACCTATATCGCCCTCCACTCGCTGCCTCGCTCTCTCGTTTACGGTCCTTCGCTTAACTACACTTTCGTTTTTTAAACCTGCACTGCGTAAACGCCCACATCCAGGAGGACGAGCCTGCTTATTCCCGTTCCCTTTCGCGTCCACAACCGCGACTCTGACGCCGATACCCTCCTACCCGGACAATCATGGGCATCAGCGACTTTCAAACGATATGCGAGAAAGCCGCAATACCATTGTGTGCCGTCGTAGGGCCTCCTTCGGCAATAAACGGTGATTCGGGAATCCAGGCAACATGCTACGCGCGGACGATTGAGTTGGCAAACACCCTGATTTTCGAAGGCGCCAATGACTTTGTCCACATCATTGCGCTCATAATGACAGTCATAATGATTATACACGTGCGGTCAAAATTCACTGCTGTGGGTATGTTAAGGAAATGTTTGCTCATGGAATGGGAACGGATTTACTAACGCATGAGATTAGGGCGCAAGGAAATCACCTCGTTTTTCTACATATACATGCTCCTCACCATATTTTCATTAATACTTGACGCCGGGGTTGTCCCACCGGGAGCTGGCGCCTATCCTTACTTCGTCGCCGTACAGAATGGTTTCTCCTCCGCACTCTGCACCTGTCTTTTGATCAACGGTTTCGTCGGTTTCCAGGTATACGAGGATGGAACAACGTTGTCGGTGTGGACTCTGAGACTCTGCTCTCTGGCCATGTTCATAATCAGTGGGGCGGTCTCGCTGTTGACGTTCAAGGGCTGGGGAGGATTGTCTCCAGCGAATCCCATTGGAGTGTTTGTGGTTCTATACATTCTCAATGGATTGTGCCTCCTAGTGTACGTCTGCAGTCAAGTGCTTCTTGTTGTCAGCACGCTTGAGGACCGCTGGCCATTGGGCGACATCGCATTCGGAGTCTTCTTCTTTGTCGTCGGGCAGGTCCTTCTCTACGCCGTGGGAGACACCATCTGTCACGCTGTGCAGCACTATCTCGATGGGCTTTTCTTCGCTACCATCTGCAATTTGCTTGGTGTTATGATGGTATACAAGGTTTGTAGTATTCACCCTAGGAAGGTAAGGGAACATTTACTAACAGCGTTCGGCAGTACTGGGATTCCATCACTCGCGAAGATCTCGAATTCTCCGTCGGCGTCAAGCAACACAACTGGGAAATCAAGGAGCTTCTGCCTGAGGAGGACAAGCGTGGTACCGTCTACAATGAGTCTGAGTATGCTCCTTCACTGTACCAGCAGCCACACCATAGTCGCGCAAGTCATTACTCCGGATACTAAAATTAGACGAAGGTGTAGCTGCTTCCGCCTGCTTCTTGGCCGATGGTTGGTTGAATAGTTGCTTTAAGTTAATGCCGGTGATATATATGCCTTGAAGTTTGTTTGACCATTGCGTTCGGTGTTTTCGGCGTTACATTAGTATCTTGTGTGGAGGTTCTTTTCCAAAAATTAGCGGACCATAAGGGGAATATATTTTAAGGAGAGAAGAAGCATTTTGATTTCGGGGGACTTCCGCTCTAATGGAAGGGATACTTCAACTTAGGGGAGATGATGTGAATAGTAATGCGAATATCTACCACTGGTTTCTAACAAGTTTGTCTCCATAGACGTTTTCCACTCGACTATTAGAGTATCTTTACTGTCAAAAGACTCAGTGTCTTACATGGTCCCTTAGAGGTACTAAAATGAGGTCGACTTAAAGAAGTGCAAAAATCAAGCCATTCCCGTCCCGTCCTCCAAAGGCTATCTTATGATGTGCAGAAGTTACATAATCCGACTAGTGTGCACGACTTCAACCCCTAAAAACGGGTATGGACTGTGCACAGTTCCAGACCTCCCAAAAGTCCGCGGATCCATTGGATCGGCCCTTTATGAAATATCGCGCCCCGTTTCATTCTCAAGCCCTTCAACTCTCAATTATCGCTCACCATTTGTGCGATAGACGGTAAGATGACCATTGTGAGTGATGAGGGAGCGCGAGAGTGGAGCCGCTGAGGTGAAGCTGCGCATGGTTCGGGATGGCCTCGCCCGAGACGACACATTGTCCGAAATAGGGTCTCTACAAAGAATTTTCGTTGTGCAGATAAGGTTGAGGGGTTCGTGCACAGCTGGTGCTACTGGTTCTTAATTTATTTCTTTCGAGCTCCGCAGTACTTCCAAGCCTCCTCTTCCCTCCCTTTTCCAGTCTCCGACTCCGTGTTCACGCTCTCTCACGTCGCCTCGACGCTGCATTATTTAGGCCTGGCCAGCTACATTCCTTCCTTCACAGTCATTACCACCACAGTCACTACCACCACAGTCACTCCTTTGTTTACACGTTATTCTCACGGTCGTTACTACGGTCGCTATTGTGCTGTGCTGCCTGAGAATCTCGCCGCAGCTGTTTTAGATTTGCATACGGAGTACTACCCAACGCTTATCCAAGCACATTTACGCCCGGACACTTGACTGCGTCGCCTTGAGACAGTACCACTACGAAGTCCGTTCTATCAAGCAATTTTCCATAGCAGAGATCCCTTCAGATTTTCGAATATCTCCGCAACTCAACTTTCTCCATACCATCTTCCGTGACTCCCGCAAGGCAGCCGCCCGCCTCCAGAGACACCTGAGCCAACTTTCACCATAAAACATAGCACTTAATCTGTGCTCTGGGAAGCACATTATCCGAACATTTAGCGAACCTCATCAGATCCGTTCGAGATTCCTTAGGGACCCGGCAACGAGCGCAGCAAAATTACACAAGCGGTAAAGCAACCGGTTCTCGAACAATACCAATTCCTAAGACCAAACACACACTCTCACTCCACAATGCGCGTCTCTACTGCTTCTTCACTTCTCCTCCCCGCGCTCTGTGCCGCCCATGCCGTCCTCCCTCCACCCTCCGAGGCCTCAACACCCGCCCTTGCGACGGCAACCCCAACAGTAGCGCTCACAGAAACGCTCTCACGTCCCACAGCCGACAGCATTCAAACCCCAAATCCATCACCAGTTCCAACACTAATCCCCATCCTAGCGGCTCCCGAGCAGCCAGAGAACCTAGAGTAAGCCACCCTTCCCACCAACCCCTCCGCCCCATCCCAACCCAACTAACTCCACTTCTACAGCCTCCGCGCAATAATTGAAAACCCTAACGCGCCCGCAATCCCAAAGACCCCTACCGACTCCGTAACCGTCCAATGGGTCGAGACGATGATCAAAGGCGTCAAAACCTGGGTCCCCGTCACTGTGACCGTCAGATTCGAGGCTGTGCCAAGTCAGTTCCCGCAGCCAGGAAAAGGAGTTATTGGGATGGGGACGCTGACAGGGAAGACGGGGGTTACAAAAACGATTAATGCGGCGCCAGGGGAGACTGGGGTGTGGAGGAGGGGGTTGGGGGTTGCCGTGGGCGTCGTGGCCGTGGGGCAGCTAGTTGTTTGAAGGGAGGGTTTGTGCAAGGACAAGAATAGCGGAAGTTTGGATACTAGAACCGGATAGGGAGAACTACATCGATATCTCGGATGCAGTTGGATCGAAACACCCAAAATAAATGGACAGCAGTACGGCGACTGGGGATGAGGAGAAGTATTAAGCCATAATATCCGTTTGATTGGATGGGTGACGAATAGACGCACAAGTTAATCGGCTGCAAGTATGGATATACTGTAGCATTTACTACTGTAATGATTATCACCTTTTTTCTACCAGCATTTTGGCTAGTTTCTCTACTTGTAATGCTGCTATGGGCCCTCTACCTGGACTCCATTATGGTTCTCACTTGTCGAAGCGTAAATCGGCGTGTGGCTGATGAGAAAATGACACGTGACTTCTGCGCTGTGGTACCCAGGTACCTAGCTAGGAGAGCATAGCCGAGTTAGGAGAGGACAACTGAGTGGAAAGCCACAACCTGAAGTAGGAAGGTACGATCTGAGGTGGAAGGTCGCAACCTGACCTGGATTGGAAGCCGCGACTTGAGGTCGAAGTTGGTAACTACCAAGCTTTTTACCAAGCATTCAACGACCCATATAAAGAAGCGTAAGCAATCGGATCCCCCTCTTCTACTCCCTCCAAACTTCACCACCACTATCAGCCCTCCTCAATCACTTGACTCTCATCTTTGCTCGCTTTTCAGGTAGTCTTGGAACTCTAACATCGTTGTCAGGTAGATATGACTGCTTTCTCACCACCAAACCTGTCTTTCCTTCCCCTCAATATGCTGCCTCCCTTTCTTTCCGAGTCTGTGGATCTTTCTGGAAGACGTAGGATAATATGATAGGGTGTCTATACGAGTTTGGATTGATGATTTTCTTACCCTTCATT